CATTAAATTCCAGTGAAATATATTTATGTTTGTGGTTGTAATGTGACAAAATATGGAAAAGTTCAAGGGGTATGAATACTTTTGCAAACCACTGTAGATACTGGAGCTAAACCCAAATTATCGTTTTCTTTATTTAGGTTTACCTTTTTAACTGTGAATTTCTTCTTCCAGTAAAAAGACGTGTAAACATGTCCCGAAGCATTTTAAGTCCGACATGAAACTGATCACTAAGGTAATGGGGGAGCACGTGGTCACGCAAACCCACGTAAAGCCAACGTCAGGCGAAGGCTGGACCATCTCATTTCGCAGCAGTTTTGAGCATCCTACCCGGCCCAGCAAGGATGTAGACTACGTGGCCCAGCTAGGCTCATGAGGACCCAGCCCATGAATTGAGACACAGCCACAATACTGCTTTGGAGGAAGGTTGCTCAGGGAGGAGCTCGGCTGCAGACTGAGCTCCAGGGAAGAGCTTTGTACAAACAGACGGAGCTTTGTACCAGCAAGCGTTTAGGCAGCTCCAAAGGAAATTCAAGGATTTCTCAAACATGCATGAATGAGTCTAAGCAACACTCWGGGTATGTTTCTGATGAGGGAATGACATTATAACGTGATATAAAGCTAAAAAAAGTAGATTTTTCAAAATACATCCTCTTTAAGAAAGATAACAGAGAAACAAGATAGATTTCATAGGATGTGGCTATTAAGTGACTAACAGAAACTTTATCCCCACTGAAGCCAAGTCGTCCTAACGTTGGCCTTTTTATTGCACAAAGTACTTGCTGTAACTTCTATGTTTAACAGATTTACAGAGATTCATTCAACCTTTCCCTGTGAGATGCCTCCACATGGCAGGTTTCATTTGAGTCGAGCTGAGAACAGCCTCTGCCAACCACGGCCCAAGACCCAAACATGTCTTCCTCTAATGTTATTTATCAGCATGTTTTTGTTTATCTTTGCCTTCATGTTTACTAAAACTGTGTTCATAATTGGACAAGTTGTCAACGAGTTGACCGGTTTTGTCATATTTTGAGGTGACCTCCCCGCATAGCTTTACTAACTTGTGTAAAATAAGTTACAAGTCGTGAAGTAATGAGCAGTTTTTGAAGACACTGAGAAGTAATGGTGAACGAACGTGCTATTTATACACAGCAGGGCAGTCTGCACGCTCCGCCCCCACCTCCCCGGCTCCCCAACAGGCATCGTGAAAAACTCCCCTTTCAACGACTTGTCATTGGAACTATAAATACGCCTCGCTTAGTGTGTGTGTGTGTGTGTGTGTGTGTGTGTGTGTGTGTGTGTGTGTGTGTGTGTGTGTGTGTGTGTGTGTGT